TTCTAATTCACCCAATTCACCAATTCCTTCTCAATCATCATCATATAATATGAATTTGCAAACATTAAAATTAGATATACCTGAAAGTTCATTTAACAATAATCAAGAATTAGCTACAGAACGTCCTGTGTTTGATGTATGGTTACATTTCATTAAATAGTAAATGAAGAATCATTTCAACAATCAATTATCAGATGATTCTACAGATTTTGAAGAAAGTTATGAAACCAGCAATAGATGTGAGGCAGCAATTCCTACTAAAATTTTGCGTACAAAAATTAAGTATCCAACCAAGAAACATGATTTACGATGTAAAAAAAATGTTTAAATTAAATTTTTGTTTTAATAAAATTGAATTTATATTTTCGTCATCTTTATCACAATTTGACTTTTGACTTTTACCCTTTGTCACTTTCGTCACGTTTCGTCACTTTCGTCACATTTCGTCACTAGTGCCCCATTTGACGAAATACTTTTTACACTCCAAAATACTTTCGTCACCCAACCTTGGTGCCAACAAAAGCAATATACTTTCAACTTGTCATAGAATAACCACCGATACTTAAGCTAACTTTTTGTTTGAATGGTCATTTGAAAGTCCCAATTTAGCTTTCAATTTTTCGTTTAATAAAGGAAAGTTGTTTGCATAGTGAAAAAATGACAAATTTTTTTATTATATAAAAATCAGAAATGGGGTTTATAATAGACGCGCGTGTCGTGTATCATAAATCCACGTACTAGATAAGGCCCTAATTTTTAAATCAAAACAAAAAACATCAAAAAAACATTTCAGAGAAAGAAAATTTGGTTTTTTTTTTAATTATTATTATTATATAGAAAAAAAATGCAAGCAAATAAAAGAACAAAAAGTAATTAGTTTTAATTTGCATATCATATATATACATATATATTTAACAACACATTGCTCAATTGTTATTTTCGAATACATACTAATAATATTACGTGTTTTAAGTATATCATGAAGGATTTATTAGTCAAGTTACTCTTCAGACAATAGAAAAGCAAGGGGAGGTTGTTATTATTGTTTATTATGTAAATTATATCTTCTTATCTATCTGTGATCTAATTGTAAAGTGTTGAGTATATAGGAAATAGAAAAATTAATCGGACCATCAATCTTAATCAAAGAGAGATCAATCAATATCCAAGTAATAATAATATTAATAAAATTAAATCTACACAAGTATACATTATATATATCTTTCAAATATATTAATAAATTTAAATGCCTTTTCTGCTTTTTGAAAAAAAGAACCTTCAAAGAATGATCCTTCATTGTCTAACAGATGATGTAAAATCTGAGGATTGGATAGAAATTCGAGTATGTGTGATTTATCATTATCATCATCATATTCATTATATTCATCATTATTCAAATTATATATTTAATTTATCTATTTAACTATAGAACAAAAGTAAAATAAAAAGAATTGTTGTTGTTGGAATCTCGTCATTTGGTGGAAGTTTATTTGGTGTATCAGGCAAACCTGTTGATAATGAAACCAGGATAAACCTTACTGCTTTTAACAGAATATTTGGAGTTAAATGTATAATTAATCAATGGTTCAACAAGTTGGAACAGTTTTTAACAGTTGACTTAACCAATGGAAATGTCAAAGGAAGGCTTATAAAGTCCTTTGAAAGAAGTATAATTACTCATTAATATATATTATCAATTATAAGCATCATATCTATAGATAATAATAATAATAATTTTCTTTTAAAAATATAATTTTTTTTAGGTAAAGAAAAAGATAAAATTGCAAGATTGTTATTAAGAACAGACAACATGCCCGTTTATGGATTCAGAGTTCCAGCTTATCCAGTGAAAGAAAAACTTTTGCCTGATAAATGGGTTCAAACTACCCTTGATTCTACTCCCATCAATTCTTCTAATGAATTCTTGTTTGTAGGATGCAAAACAGAACAGCATTGGGGACATATTGTCATTATTAACTATGAACAAAATGTCATTTGTAATGAAGAGTTTAAATTTGATGGTGCACCTCCTAGTGATTATATTAGAAGGTAAATAATAATTAAAATTTTTTTTTAAATTTTTATACAAAATTAATTTTTTTTTTTAAATAGATGGCATAAAATGAAAAGCGTAAAAGATATGCAAACCATTTTATTGTCTTTTATCACTAAACAAACAAAATTAGTCGGTCATTTATTAGGAAAATATTTAGAATTACTAAAAGTGAGTAGAGAGAGATTTATAAATTTATAAATAAACATATATATATTCATATCTGCAATTAATAAATATTCTTTTAAAAAAAAAATAGTATGCACACTCAAATGTTATTGACACATCAGCTTTGTGTCATGGTAGCAATGGATTACATTCAAGATCAGGATTAAATTTTCTTAAATCAATTTTGCATAAATCACCACTAGGAATTGTGAATACTGCAGAGGAGAAAGCCCGTGCCATTCTTGCTCTATATAAATACATACTTGAACGAGGTAGATTTTTATTGATTTAATTTAACAATAAACATTGTTTACTAATATGTATGTGTGTAAATATATTAAATTTAGGCCTTTACACGGGAAAACGTCAAGAATCATTAACACATGTTTTAAACATAAGCAATAGATCCACTGCATTTATTGATTATAATGGCAAGTTTCAATTATATGGTGTCGGTTCAAGTTCTAATGCAACCATTGCTTTATGTTCCAATGACGAAGAGGTACTTATTTCTATCTATTTGTTTATGATCCAAGTAATAAATACTACATGTATTAATGTAGTTAATTTAATTTTAGATTGAAGAACAACTCCTTAAAAAAATTAGAAAACCTAATTTTGTATGGGCACATTTTCGTGATCTTGAAAACATTATTGATCCAAATAAATATCAAGATGGCTTAAAAAAGATTAGCGATAGAATATATAGAATATATAATCAACTATCAACAAACAGTGTTCTAATGGTCATTGGTCAACCACAAAGAGACGAAGAAGGAATTGCTTTTATTAGAGTTAAAAACTAAAATAAATTTTCTTACTGTATCAACACTAACTAATCTTTACTGTTAAAATTATAATATTTATTTCTTTTTCTCTTATTATTACGATGATGACCTTCTAAGATATCGATTTTGTTATTGTTGTTTTAGAAAAGCAAATAGAAAGAATTGCAAAACATCAAACAAGAGAGAGATTATTTTTATGTTGGAATGCTGGTTTTTGCTCCAATGGTTTTATTAATATATTATAAAAACAAAAAGTTAATGTGTAACTTTTACTTACTATCTTTCCTATTTAAATTCTTGTCTATCGTGAGAAATCATTACCTCGTAACTCTGAGAATAGAATGAGAATAGAATGATCTGTGTTCATTTGTTTATATATAATAAGAATAACTATATAGTTAACTAGGAAGTTTGATATCCCAGATCTGCATAACAAATTTCTATCGTTGTCATTGGCGGACCACCAATTAAGAAGTTTGATCGACAAACGCCATTATTGGGATTGGTTTTTTTTTTTTTTGGAAACAATTTTATTTTTTAACAATGACATGATGTTGTTTGGTACCTGCCTGAAGACGTGTTAATAGCTGACCGGAAGCACTTTTCTTTAATTTGCATTGATATATCTTTTATTTATACAAGTATTTTAATTGAAATCAAAACGCGGAACAGATCTTTTCTAGGTAATTATAAGATCCTCATCAAGATGGTAAATAATTGATATTTGCTTTTCGTAATCAGTAATAATATTAATATTATTATAAATATATATTTACATGTCAAGGCAGCACACCGTTG